GAGAGAGAGAGAGAGAGAGAGAGAGAGAGAGAGAGAGAGAGAGAGAGTGAGTGAGTGAGAGACCAATCAGCTCCCTACATTCACCTCAGTGATCAATTATTAAATCATCTATCTTACATAAGTTTAATTCAGCTTTAATACAGGACTCATGTTAAAATACTCGCAGTATATATGGCTAAACTCTATACTTTGTAATGATGATTTTTTTAATGTATTTTTCTTAGTATACTATAGTGAGTTTCTTAGTGTCTTTTAATGCCTACAGGCTGTAATATCATGAGGCTGCAGCGGTGAAGTGAGTGTACAGCGCCCTCCATCGGTCAACATTTGAAAAACAAGTCTCGTGGCCATTTATACTATTATTCGGTGTTTTAAAATATAAAACAAATATCAATATAACATCTAGATGTTTGATATTGTCGGACACTACATGAAACCCTTAGCTTTTATTATTCTATTTACAATACAGGCGAATGCTCTGGTGTAACTGGTGATGCACTGATATCACATTTATGGTTTATATTAAAAAGGAATGCCATGCACTTTTAGAATGCATGGCAGGGAGTTAAGGTGGTGCCCTGTAGTCATTAGTGGGGTATTTGAATTTAATGTTTTTGTATCGTCTTTGCTCTAAAGGAGGGTTCCTTCCCGTAACCAGAAGGAGAAGTTTGCTATGGGAATCATTACACTCTTTCCTCTCCTTTTCTCCAAAGAGCTATGTATGTTTGTTTTTTTAAAGGATTACTTCCAGAATACACATCGGTTTTACAGGCTAGAGTTTTGGGGGTTTTCTTCAAAACAAAAACACACAAGAAAAATATTCTATATATTAGTTTGATTGACATTGTTATAAAGTAATTAATTCACAATCCCATAACTGCCCTTTCTATAAGATTAATGAGTTGTGCATATATTTTATTTAAACTCTCATCTTTAATTTGGTTGGATGTAAGCCGTTAACAATGCACACACCATTGGCTTGATTATTTTTTTTGCATCTGTGTGTGATCAACAGCTGAATCAAGACATATGGAAAATGAGAAACACAAGGCTTTCAAAAATATTTTTCAAAACTTCAAGAACATCACTAAATCTGGGAAGTGATGAGAAAGATGTAATCAAAGCAGACAGTCTTGTTATTTATAATCCCTTTGACTTACAAAGTGCTTATGGTAAAGATGAGAGCCTTTATATTGTACCATTCATTTATTTTGTAAATGTGCATATGCAGCTAAATTGTGCTTGGAATAAAAATAAAAATGTAACTCGGAATCTGTGAGAATGATATAAACACTGGCATAGTGTTAATGTAACACTATGCGAGTTGAATTCACACTTCAGATTTTGCTGTGTATGGACCTCAAATGAACAACATCTTGCGGCAGTAGCAGCCATACTGTCGAGATCTCTTGTGAAACTTTCTAGCTATCTATTAGACTGCAGTTAGAAGCATGCGTTCCCCTCCAAACTCAGCCTCGTCACTAAAATATACATTACAGTCATTTAGCAGACGCTTTTATCCAAAGCAACACACAATTCAGATTCTATCCATACACCACAGCTACGGGAGCAAATTTGGGGTTAAGTGTCTTGCTCAAGGACACCTCGACAGGCGACTAGCGGAGCCAGAGCCGGGGATCAAACCGCCAACCTTCTGATCAGCCCTGCTCTCCACTGAGCCACAGTCGCCCTAATCTTGTCTGATAATGATAGGTTAACAAGGGTTAGAATTGATCAGAAAACAAAAATCTAAACAAAAAGTGACTCAGACAAACAGTTCATGTGAAATATTTCATTAACAGCTGGATGTTTCTCTTCCTGGTGCTCTTTGGTCATCGTCGTCTTATGACAGCGTGCAGGTGGAGGAATGGGGCGGCTGCTCCAGGATCGATTCACTTTTAAAAAACAAAATGAATGAGCAAAAAGTAATTAAAACTGTAAAAAGCTGCAGAAAATGATATGTGCATTTGTGCAATCTGATGCAAAATAGACAAAACAGGCAAACATTGGGAAACTTTAATGACATGAACCAGACCTGCATTGAGTTTCCTCCAGTTGATCTCGCTGAAGAAGGCGCGCGCCCTGATCTCGTCACATGATCCGTTCTTGAAGCAGAGCCTCTTGTCGACCTCTTTGAACAGCAGACCCTCACAGATGGACCGCGCCTTCTCATTGAACTTCTCTGGATACGTTACTGGATCATTCAGAATCCGCTTCTTCACCACCTTGTTCTCCACCTCGAAACAGCACAAAGAAGAATGAGAGATTCATTTCTTCCTCTCATTTAAAACACAAGTCCAATTCTTCCACCGCTGGTTAAATGAGGGCTTCATTTTTCACTGCAGTGTCAGCATCAGGCCACAAGCGGGCAAAGTTGAGCCATAAAATCCTTTGTTCTTTTAAAAGTTACTGTATGACTATGAACGTCACTGACAGAAAGACTAACAGACTGTGGCGAAAAAGACAGAGAGCCCCAAAAAAAAGTGTTTGAAGCACACAATAAAAGTAAAAACATCTCTACATCTCTAAACGTGGATTGAGGATTGGAAAAACATACACCGAATATTTACCACAGCCAGACCAAGGTCAGAGATACGCACGTTACCTGTGAGAACAAACACACACCTGGGTAATGTCAAGAGCCGTGCACGTCACTGATACCAATGTTGACCTGCAACAATACGTCTCTGACACGTTTACCTGTAGTGGCATGATAACGGAAAGACGTCCTTGTGTTGGAAGTGAGACTCAGGGTGTAACGTTACACAGTGTGTTTACATAGCCTGTGTGTGTGTGTGTGTGTGTGTGTGTGTGTGTGTGTGTGTGTGTGTGTGTGTGTGTGTGTGTGTGTTTTGACCTCAAGAGGACAATAATGAGACATACTTATTAAAATCAAGGTGAGGGACTTCATCACAGTTAATATAAACTAGTATATCTGTGTAAGTGTTTGTGACATTTTTGGAGAATGCCCTTATTCACTTCATTTCTTGAGGGGGCGTTAGCTAGATGATGAGAGGGACACCACTCATCATAACATATGTTAGCATAAAGACAGCGTGGCTCTGTTCAAAACTCCAGGAAATGACAGAGTAAAACCACGTATTAAACAAACAAGATATATAACATGTTAATCAATGAGCTTTTGAGCTGCTGGAAGGTGGATTTTGCCACTTTTGAACAGAGCCACGCTAGCCCCCCCCCCCCCCCTTGTTTCCAGTCTAACGGTCAGCTTCGCTCACGCTCTCCTGGCTACAACTTCATGTTTAACAGACAGACATGGCAGCGGCATCAATCCTCATCAAAACTCGTGGCAAGAAAGTGAATAAGCACATTTCTAAACTGTCAAACTATTGTTTTAATAAAATATTATGTTGGTCCCAAAAAATGACAGTATCCCATGATTTACCGTTGAACCAATATGATGTATAACTGACCTCTAAAACAGGAATCACCAACAGCACAGCCACTAACATACGAGAAAATCTTCAATCTAAATGGCTGCATTTCAGGACCCAACATAAGAGACTTCATCTTTATGAGTACACGAGTGTCTGACCTTGATTATCCAGCAGCACGGTCTCTGGTTTGAGGTCTCTGCAGATGATCCTCTTCTGGTGGAGATGCTCCAGGCCCTGAATGATCTGAGCAGCGTAGTAGCAGGCCCGCGGCTTGTCCAACCCTGGGTTGTCCTCATCCCCGTTATGAATGTGATACCTGGTGGCACAATAGAGAGAGTGTAAGGTGTGTAGACGTTTAAATTCTTTTAATTCTATTCACACTGACATTTAAAACGATCTGTTAATAAAAAAAAAAGAATCATCAGGTAACTGGCACCATAGCAAACCATTTATCACATTTTTAAGACTACATAAAATAACTCAAAGGCCAATTAAATATCAGATTTAAATTCCAATGCATAATCCATATTTTTAAATATAAACTGTTAACAACTGTTAACATTGGGATGCAAGATGTCTCAATTAGATTCTGAGAGGATGAAGCATAAAAGACTGAAATATGCAGATACTGTGGTCAGTATGTCAGTGAGTGAGATCTAACCTCAGGTCTCCTCCGTTCATGATGGTCATGACCAGACACAACTCTGTTTTTGACTGGAAGGCATACGCCAAAGAGACAATGAACCTGCTGTGAACTCGAGCCAGGATCCGCTTTTCCACCATAGCCCGCTTCAGGACGGGAAAGGACAGCAGAAATGAGCACATGTTCACAGTTTTTACAGCTCATAGGACATAGTAACGACACACTAACAGTCCTGTCTGCACATCATTTGTCTTAGTTTGCTGTAAAACGTGTCAGGTTATCAAAGAAACAAGGTGAAGCTATAGCTTAGCTACACTGCATTGAAGTCAGATTCAACTCTTTCTTTCCTTTTCCACACTATTGAAGGTCAATGAGTCGACGTTGTCAAGCTTTAGCATGTGCATTAAAACAGGTGTGACACATGTAGTTTCAGCGCTCTGCCATGTGATGGTGGGAAGCTCTGACATCTGACACTTGAGAGTTGGCTGCACAACAGCTTAGCAACATCCAGTCAAGGAACTCATTTCTAAAGGTATATGTTTGCATTTGAATGCATCGTTTCAGTCAAGTTTCATCAGAATTTACACACAAAAAACATTTCAAAAGATGTTGATATTGAAAATAAGCCACCATTGCATCTAAACAAAGCTTGTTATCCCATATAAAGCGGCCTATACGCAGCTAACCATATAGTATCGGATGTTGTTCACTTTGGTCTAGCAATATTAGCATAAACAATATTGTACAGGGAGTTATATTTTGAACATTTTGTTTAATCTGTCAAGGCATAGTAAGCTAATACATTTTGAGCAGAAGTTATATTTAGATTGTTTCTATGTCGATTGAGCAGATGATTAGGAAATCCACTCCAGAGCTGCTCCATTTATAAATATGTCAGGATTGGCACTTTATAAGGAGATCAACATGCTCTTATGCTGAGGACACTAATCATATAAGCCAAAGGTGTCTAACGTCTTCTGCAAGCCTTCATGTAGTTACTGATTGTTGTTTAGACGGGGGGATTACAACAAGAAACAAACTAGACCTCAACGTATGTTTCTGAACAAACTGCAATGTTTACTAGACGGTAATCCCTTCACTTGTGCAGCTACTGCAGAATTTCCACTCCTGATGAGAAAGAACTTGTCTTCTTACCTCATTGCCTTTTCTCTTCTTCAGCCTCTTCTTGTTGAGCTTTTTGCAGGCGTACAGTTTCCCCGTGGCCTTCATCTGACAGGCAGACACTTCCCCAAAACCCCCTTTCCCCAAAACACGAAAATCCAAAAACCAATCCTCACCCATGGGCTGCATCTCCAACCACTTCCACTGCAGAAACCTTTTCAGATACATACTCTCCAGGAAGAAAGTGTGGGGCGCTTCCTTGAGAAAGCCCATCACATTGTCCATGGTCTCACTGAAAAGCTCATCCCCGGCCTCTTGGTGTTTCTCTTTGACCTTTGTGATGCCGTTTTCTGGCAGGATGGTGGCAGAAATACTTTGCGTCAGGCTCCATGTAGCGGGACAAGATCTTGCTGGCTTTCTTCGATCGATCCTCATCCTCGGCCATGTTGTATTCCTCAATATCCTTCCACAGGCGGCAGGGGCCTTTATAGTCTTTGTTGGAGTCCAGGAACTCCTGGAAGAGACGTTTGCCGATGGGCTGCTCCACACAGACTGTGTGGAAGCCCAGATCTAAAGTCTCCCGCAGGCCTGCACACACTGTGATGTGAGGCAGCTTCAGGCGGGAGTGGTACTTCCTGCCTCGGTTGGATGCAGGGTTGGCAGTGCCATCAAAGCTCCCGCGGGCTGAGATGTAGGCAGAGTTGGCCACCACTGTCGTCAGGCCACCGATATCCATGGCGACGCAGTTGAAAAGTGAGGAGGAGGGACGGAGAAATGTGCGAGGCGCAGCAAAAAGCTACAGAGAAAAGATGCAGGAGTGGAGGTGACCAGATGGCACAAAGAAGAGGAAAGCAGCTGAGAAGCAGATGATGTATGATTGATTCCCAGATAAGAACGAGATGTGGTGCGGATTCTGAACTCTTCAGAAGCAGAGGATATCGTACATCCCACCGCTTGCTCGCTGCAGAGAGCCTCAGAGAGCTCAGTGTTTCCCTCAGTCATTAAACCTGAGAGTCTCTTTCACACACATGCAGACACAGACATGTGGATCTACCTGACTCATCACCTTTCCCCAAAGGGATTTATACACTCTGTAACACTGTAATGCTTTATCCTGCACAAACTCACGTGCACCCTGTAGAGGAAGAGAGGGCAACAGAGGGTGAAAACAAAGACTCGGGAAACGTGATGGAGAGGAGAGACAGAAAGGAGGAGGAGGGCTGAATGTGGTTGTGCATGTAGTGGGCTGGTAATGACAGGAATGCAATGCAGCGAAGCTGAGAGAGAGAGACAGAGAGTGGCACAGAGATAAACAAAAGTAGCCTCGGCTATAATAATACGTCTGCACAGTTCTGGTTTTGTACTCTTTTGGTCTTACTTTGTCTATTTGAACTTTATCTCTCTCTATTCCCTATTACTGGAGAGAAACACCCATCCAGTCTAAAAACCTGCAAGGATTCCTCTAATAATTGCTAGCAATAGCATTTTGCTCAAAGTATCTTTTAAGTCAGAGCTGCTAGCATGGCTGCAGACTTTTAGTCTTGGTTTGTGTTTGTGTCATGGGGCATATTGGTTTAGAGGGGACATCCATGGCCATACAAAAAGATACAGAGAGTTCTATCAATGGTGTATATATAAATGTCATTCTGTGACAAAGACATATGATACGGATTACGGGTGCTGTGCTTTGTCATCCATCTCTCTACTGACATGTCCTCTCAGCTTTCTGTTGCTTGCAATATGATAAAGGTAAAAATGTAACAAATGTAAAAGGGTCCTACTGGTGAGACAGTCATTTAATCAATGTAGTCGATGGAAATCAATTACTGGTAATAATTTATGTTGTGTTACAAGCAGCAAGTTCTACTGCCATGCTAGCACCTCCGTGGAGTTGTGCTTTAGCACACCGTTTCGTTGACCTAAATGCTGATGTCAGCATGCTAACATAGTCACAATAACAATGCTAATATTAATTTGAGGATTTGCTATTTTTTTTTGCATTGAATAGCTTCAAATTGAATAGACAAGCAATTTGAAGATGTCACCTTTGGCTCTGGGAACTTGTGATGGGCATTTCTTTTAGCATTTTGAACTAATCTATAACAACATTGTTACAGTATCCTGTCCCTTTAAAATGTCCTCCTTTATAACTTTAGGAAAAATCCAATGTTTAAACCCCAGAGTGGCTCTTTGGCGGGTCCAGAATCAATGAGAGGCAGACTTTGGTTTTATGTTTCAGTTTGGTTTAAATCTGAGCAAATCACATGCAGTCGTTCACCTTGACTGTTGTCATTAGTAACCCATGTGGTTCAAGGTGATACTCAGGTCCCTCTGAGGAGGGAAGGTTATGTTGCTGAAGAAGGAAGTTCACCTGTTTCTACTTTGTCCCCCCTCAGCCTCCGTACTGCCAGCATGCCCACCTTATCTTGGCCTTATAAATAGTGAATACGAGATAACGCTTTCATCACACTCTGGAGCGACGTCCAGGGAGTTTTAGCTGAAATTACTGTAAAAGGAGAATGAGACAGGGGCCACAGAAGACATAAGCACACGCCTGAAAGTGCCTCAAAATCTTTGGGGAGCGACAGGAAGGAGAGTGGAGAAAGAAGTATCACCGTTTGAATCTCACTGTCAGTGAGGGAGAGAGGAAGAGAAGTGAAAGTTAAAGTTGAGTGAAGGGAAGAAAAGGTCTGCTCATCATGGCCGCCTTGAAGGAGAAGAGGAGTTGTGGGCAGCGATGTGAAGACTTTGGTCGTTTTGTCTGGAACTCCGACGAAGGGAAGTTTATGGGGAGAACACCAGAGAAATGGGGTAATTATAACTTCATTAACTTCTCTTGTGCAACATTAAATAATATAATACAGTGCAGTGGCTCTGTATTAAATACGAGACTGCACGTATCATTTATAAGACTGTAGTTTGTAGCACTGCTAAGTGCCATTCATTCACTGCTGGTGAGGGTCTACTTATCTCTTTGCTATATTGCATCCTTTTGAATTGGTGACCAATGCTACCAAACATTTAGGCAACATCTATTTCACCAGCAATGACTGAAAAATGCTTTACTATGGGCTACTTGTTTTTGACTAACAACACTTTAAGCAGCAGAAGGACCTTTGAATTAAATTAACATGTTTTAAATGAGTTAAAGTTCTTCAGTGAAGCAGTCGCTGGCAATGCAGGCTTCCTCCAACAATTAAACAAACAAATATGTATTTTTAAAAGATAAATCATGTCAGTTTTTAAGACATAAAATAGTGCAGCATGGTATGTAGTTAAATCTATGTGCTTTACATTTTATAAGCTCTTCATATGTTTTTGTGAATATAATTTAAACCTGCAAAGCAAATGTGCTTTTATGTTACATCCCACCACTCCATGTGAGCATTGTGATGTAAATGATGCACCACATGCAACGCTGTGTGTGCGTGTGTGTGCGTGTATGTGTGTGTGTGTGTTTGTGTGTGTGTGTGCGTGTATGTGTGTGTGTGTGAGAGAGAGTGTACTACAGTAAAAGATAAACACCCATCATGAACTTGTACAAACCATTCAGTGTGACTTTTCCTGTCCTTTTAATATCACCACAGTGTGTATGTTTGCAGCTTGTGGACAGAGAGAGATAAGCTTGCTGTTGTGATAAGCTCCCCCCCTCCCCCCCCTCCCCACCCTCCGTTTGATCTTACAATCAGAGTAAATTGAGCTCATATTGACAGAGGACACTTTGACCTCTGCAAAGGTGGACATACATTTTTCTCCGTCTCTACTTTACTGTACACACTGAGCTTTAAAAAGAGCATCAGACTGAGGGGCCATAAACATGTAATGTTGACTGTGTGTGTTAATAAATAAAAAAACTCTCGTTCACAGTGTACATCAGTCTGTATTATGTTGCCTTCTACGTGGTGATGACGGGCCTCTTTTCTCTGGCCATCTGGACGCTCATGTACACTTTGGATCCGTACGCCCCGGACTACCAAGACCGGTTAAATTCTCCGGGTAACACAACAACAACAACAACAACAACAACAACAACAACAACGTGAGTTAAGACAATGACGACCTCAGTTAACCAGCTGTTTTTTTGCCTCTCTGTTCAGGGGTCATGGTGTGGCCGAACACTTACGGGGAGGAAATTGTTGAAATCAACTACAACACATCAGACAAGGCCAGCTGGATGAAGATGACCAACATCCTTAATGAGTTCCTGGAGCGTTAGTATTTACTTACTCTACCCTGATGGACAGACACTTTAATGTTTAACACAAGAAAAGACATCTATTTGTCTGTCTTTCTGTCTTTCTCTGTCAGTCTACAATGACACCAAGCAGCTTGAATGTAACAACTATAACTGTACAAAGGGAAAGTACTTCATCCAGGACACCTTCTCTGCCCCTCACCACACCAAGTGGGCATGCCCCTTCATGCAGAGCATGCTGGGAGCCTGTTCAGGATTTGAGGACCCGACCTTTGGCTACAACTGCTCCATGCCTTGTGTCGTCATTAAGATGAACAGGGTAGGTTTAATTCATAAATAACCTTCTAATATCAGATTAAATAGTAATGACTAAAGTCAAATGTTCTGTTTTGTCTCTGCAGATCATCAACTTTTTGCCCACTAACAACACTGACCATGTCCCTTATGTCAACTGCACTGTACTGGTGAGCAACAACTGCATATACCGACTTTAACAGCATGCATTAAAGAAAATGTGTCTGAAGTTCTACATGTTATTTTCAGGGAGTACTCCAGTGATTTAGACTTGCACTTCTATAAAGTTGGAGGGCTTCCCGAGAGACAAGTTAAAGAATCATAATTGATGCACCAGTGGCTGAGATATGCAAGTTTTATGAATTTTGAGCCAGTAGCTTTTTCTGAAATCCTGCTGACAAACAAAACAAAACAAAACATAACCTCCTTGGTGGAGGTAATTATACAACTGTTCTCTCAGGCTGAGTAAACTGATCTTCCTTAGTAAAATTGGTGCCCCATTAAATATAATGGAATTCTGTGTCTATGTGCGTGTGCGTGTTTAGGAAGGACAAAACAATGTGGACAAAATCGAGTATTTCCCTGAATGTGCAAGTATGGATTTATCTTACTTCCCTTACTACGGAAAACTGGCACAGGTGAGCGAGAATCAAGATCTGTTTATGTCCTTAAAAATGTGCTCTTTAAAAGTAAACCTGAATCACCAACCAGGCAGTGGTCCCATGTACTAAACTCATTGTGTGTCACCTGGTTTGTGGTAAATATAGTGTGCATATATCTAGATAAACGTGTTTAACTGAATTACCACAAACAGCGGGTCAATAGAGGCCCACAGCTCATTTTCACCAACTGTAAAATTCAAGGCACTTTTGATTTACTACCAGGTAATCAAACATACGTTAATGCATTCATGTTGAATGTTTTTGAGTCGCATCAAGCACCAAAATGTTCGAGTTATTCATATTAACTTTGGGAATTAAACAAAATGTTCGACATATTGAAAAATATGCTGAGTTAGATGAAAACATGTCTCAAGTCTGTACGGTGAACATGTGTTGGAACCCAGCAGGAGGTGAGTTCAGCTTAGCAAAGACTGGAAACAAGGAGAAACAGCTGGCCTGGCTCTGTCCAAAGGTTAAGGTCAAAATGACAATTTGCAGTGACTTCCTGCAGTCTCCGCTGCTTGCTTGGCAACCAAATTGTGACAACAAATCCTGAAACCACACATTGTCATTGTTACTCTTCAGTTTTTACACAGATTAAACACATGCCATGATAATTTGGGAGATTTAAAGGTGCTGGTAGAAGGAAAGGCTAGCTGCTTCCCCCTGTTTGCAGTCGTAATGCTAAACTAACAAGATTCTAACATCAACTTGTGGTATCAATCTTCTCACGTAACTCTCCGCAAGGAAGTGAAAAAGTGTATTTCCCAAAATGTCAAGTCATTCTTCTTAAACACAAAAACCAAACAAATTTCAACAATCTCTGCTTGGCCTCCTTCCTCCTTTTCTTCAGCCTACTTACGTCAACCCGCTGGTGGCCGTTCGGTTCAGGCTGGTCGGAGAGAAGCAAGCCAAGATCCAGTGCAGAGTGGTCTCCAAAAAGATCAGCTATGAAAACTTCTACGACCCCTACGAGGGAAAAGTCATCTTCCAACTCAAAGCAGTGAAATGAGAAGATACTCTGATATCCCATGATCACGTAACAACGAACCTTTCAGTGTCAGAGAGCAGGTGACTACAGATCCATAGTGACTGTTATTTAACAACCTTGGAACCACTTGTATTCAACAGTTTAGGCCCACTTGTAAATGTCTGTGTGGTGCGTTAATGAACATGATTTGTCATGCTTTGCTATTTGATTCATGACCTTCTTTGTCATCTGATTTTTTTACCCATGACATAAAAAATGAAATCTATAAATCTATGTGTTGTTATGTAACCCGACGCACGCTAACAAACTCCAGCATCTGTCTGCACGTGTCTCTCTCTCACAACAATCTGAGGACGTCAAAGGGAAACTACTAGATTCTTGAGGTGGATTTGGGATTTAAAAACAACAACACTGCAGAAAATATTGACAAATGTAGCTAATGCAGATTAAAAACCTCAAGTTCTGTTTGGTCTCATCTGGCAGAGTTGCCTGCTTGTAGTTTAGGGATGATTAGTCTTTGTAGTGGAATAAGTCTTCAGATCCTTTACTTAAGTAAAAGTACTAACAACACACTGAGAAAATACTTCACTACAAATAAAGTCCTGCATTCAAAACTTTACTTAAGTAAAAATATGTAAGTATTATCAGCTAAATTTAGTTAAGTATCAAAAGTAAAAATACTCACTTATACTTTTTAAATATTTAGTTAAAGGACGGGAATAATTTTCTCATCACATAAAGGACCACTTCATCCTTCAGTCCAATCCAATCAAAAACATTCTAAATCTCGAGATACGTGGTTTTCACTGGACAAAAAGTGTATTGAAAATAGAAATCCGAAAAGTAACTAAAGCTGTCAGACAAATCTATTGAAGTAAAAGATTTTTTATTGAAGAAGTGTTGACACATGCGCCATAAACTATATTTTGTGGTGTTCTCAATTTTTAATTCTACCCTTGTATTGTTACAACTCACCTCGGGGTGTTTTAAAACTTACATCGGTAGTGGGGCAGGGTGTAAATGTTGCATATTTGGAGGTGCATATTTGGAGAAGTCAGAAATATTGCTATTTGTAGTAGACAAATAAAGGTACTTTGTGTCAAAATTTTAGAACTCTAACAGAAGAATTCAGCGAGTTATAGGTGCTTGGACAAAAAGTGTTACAATCGTCCCCGGTCTCCCGTACATCTGTGTTGATACTGTAATCAATAAGTGTTCAGGATACTGTACCTGTATGCTATTTTGGAAGCAAAACTGGATCAGTGATTTGTCAATGAAGCTGTCAACAAAATAGCCATCTACTTTCAGCTTTCACCATTCTCATCCTCACTGGTGTGCAGAAACTTTTGCATTATTGCAAGGTGGGTATTCTCAGTACCGTCTAACCTGATTTTTGGGGGACATCCATTGTTTTCTGTCACAGCATCTATGAAGTAACCTGCGATAATACAAGGGCCATTGTTGGTTTTGTATGTTTCTAGCCATATCATTTTTCTCGAGAAGCCATCTATGCAACCACTGATGCATATTCCATAAGGCTTTAATTTGTCGTACCCATGTGCCATACATAGTTTGGCCCACGGTTGACATACATACGCCGTCTTAAACGGTTGCGGGCACGCAGGTCTACCCCATTCACGTCCATCAGTCGCAATAATTGACGCACAGTTTCTCTGTCGGTAATTATCCCGGCCATCCCACATTTCTAGTGCATCCATCTGTAGCCGTGCTGTTTGCCAGATGTTTGTAGCTGTTGGTGAATGAAGGATGCTACCTCAGCTTCATCTGTCTTAATTCGTCTCCACCAAAGTTGGTTATTTTGTAGCTTTCTCTGTAGGGTCCGGAGGCTGAGTTTGATATCATGTGATTCCTCCAAAACAACTAAAATTTCACTAATTTCACCTAAAGTAGTCTTCAATGATGGTATCCATTTGGATCTGCTAAGCTTCGTCTCATCCACTTGCTTCTGTTGCTTTGGCGCATGTGAGGTAGAGATACTATATGAGATAGTAAGTCATAATTATGAGATACTATCTCATTATTATGAGATGGTATCTCATAATAATGACATGGTATGTCATAAATATGAGATAGAAAGTCATAATTATTACTTCTACTACTACTTCTAATGCTACTAATACTTCTACTACTAATAATACTTCTACTACCACTACAACAAATGCTATTACTACTAATACTGCTATTACTGTTACCACCAATATTACTATTGCTACCAATTAGAACGACTACCACTAGTACTACTACTACTGATGTTATTACTGCTACTTCAAATACTACTATTACTGCAACTACTACTACTCCTAAAACTACTACAACTAATACTACTACAAATGCTATTACTACTTCTACTACTACTGTTATTTCAACTACTACTACGACCACTACTACAGCTATTACTATGACTATGACTACTGTCACAACCTGGCTCAAAGGCTGGAACATAAGGGAGACAGGACGAGTTAAAAGTAATAAATAGACATTTATTTAAAGTACAAATAACCAAACAATCAAAACAAAGCAGCAGCCATGTCAGCCAAGAAGATGCAGCAAAGAAGAGGAGACCAGCCAAAGAAGAGGGGGAACCTTTATAGCTGGGACCAAACCAGGCTCAGGTGTCGCTCATCAGTGGCCGATTAACATCCTGAAAGACAAACAGACAGCAAACAGGACACAGACCACAAGTGGAAGGGAGGGGTCATCACACTACTACTACTGCTACTACTGCTGCTACTACCAATATTATTACTACTACTACTTCTACTTATTCTAATGCTACTAATACTTTTACTACTAATAATATTTATAGTACCACTTCTACTACTACTACTACAACTGCTGTTACTACTACTATTACTGCAACT